TCACCTGATCGACAGTCGAATGATGAACAAGCTTCAGACCCAAATACGTATATGGAACTCAAAGCCAGGCTCCCGAACCATAAACAGTCTCATGTTCCAACTGAGTATCAGTCGCTACAGGAAGTACCCACGAACCCCGAATATTACAATATGGTGCTTCAGAAAGAAATTGGTGGGAAAAAAAATGAAGAAGTGTATGATGAAATATGATAATCCCCAAATAATTTCCTCAAGAACAGACATGACTACAATTGGTTTCTGGTCAAGGCAGTTTATCAGCCAATTTACAGCAGTGCGGCTGTAAGAGCTTCCTCGGCTAGCAACGACTTTTATTTGGTCGATTCGAAATTAATTATATGAATCTTTCTCGTATTTTACGCATACCTGTACTATTATAGGGAATCCATACTATCAAGTGAGATTTAATCTGCAATTGCATATCCCAGTGGCAGCATGAAAATTTCAATTCGAGTTAAAGTGAGTTCTGAACCAGAATTAAAGTTAAAGTACTGAATTTGCAAACTCGTTTAAGAGCCAGTAGATATAAAAAGAGAGCAAAATGTAAAAATGTAATGGAAGTTGTTCCTTATATTTTAACTTTTAAGGAAAATTACATTTTTTGAACCGTTTATTATGTTCTTATACATAGTAGATTCTTCTAAATCGTAAAACAAATCTGGTTTGTACTCTTCCTTTGAAGAAATTGAAAAAGTATAGCTAACAGAATATTATTGTTAGATATTTGTAGATAGCTGAATAGAAAATTTACACTCTAGTCTCTTGAAGATATTTCTAAGTCAGCCTATTTACAAATTGAAGAAAATGGGAGATGAACGTTGTTCGTGTCTCACGATAGAGTCACTTAGAGTCGACGTTTGGAATAATAATGAGGATCGAAATGCACTGATAGCAGCGTGCTACAAATAGCGAAACGTAAACAATCGACCTCATCGCCTGATGAAGACGAGCAGTATTGTAGTCGAAACGTCGCGATCTACATCTTAAGTGACTCTATCGTGAGACAAACGAACTAAGTTCATCTCCTATCTCCTATATTTTATTAACCCTTTAACTCCCAGATCAAATTTGTAATTCTCCCTACTGTCAACTATACAATTCTTATAATGTTCATTCAGAGAATTTAGTATTGGATCAACTAATTATCTCTAAATTGATATTTTTCTTTATTCTCATCACTCATCTGGTTGATATTGTATTGATACTGTAAGGAGAAATTCTGCCTTGGTCACTCATGGGAGTTAAAGGGTTAAATTGAAAAATGTTTGGAAAGATTTTTCCTATGCAATAAAAAACTCAGTACTTTTAGGTTTAGGAAGCTTTCGTCGCAAAGTATCCGTGTAGTGTACTTTTGAATTGTTTAATCCTTTCCACCCTAACATCAGTGTGCATATTCTCCATACTGCTCTATATACATTTCCTAAAGTGCTGACGAGGAGAATTTGTTTAACAATCACGGGCTTGAAGATTTAGATATATGAAAATTCACATATTTGCACTGCGGTGGAAAGATGAAATTAATAGATCCTCGCAGCTAAGAACACTACTGAAACTAGTAGTTGTAAGTAGGACCTGAAAAAAATTTCAGGCCCGTACGGGATTTGAACCCATGACCTCTGCGATACCGGTGCAGCGCTCTACCAATTGAGCTAACAAGCCAACTGGGAGCTGGTCAATGAATTGGGTACAAATAAACATCCGAGTGAATGAAGATTTAGATATATGAAAATTCACATATTTGCACTGCGGTGGAAAGATGAAATTAATAGATCCTCGCAGCTAAGAACACTACTGAAACTAGTAGTTGTAAGTAGGACCTGAAAAAAATTTCAGGCCCGTACGGGATTTGAACCCATGACCTCTGCGATACCGGTGCAGCGCTCTACCAATTGAGCTAACAAGCCAACTGGGAGCTGGTCAATGAATTGGGAACAAATAAACATCCGAGTGAATGAAGATTTAGATATATGAAAATTCACATATTTGCACTGCGGTGGAAAGATGAAATTAATAGATCCTCGCAGCTAAGAACACTACTGAAACTAGTAGTTGTAAGTAGGACCTGAAAAAAAAAAATTTCAGGCCCGTACGGGATTTGAACCCATGACCTCTGCGATACCGGTGCAGCGCTCTACCAATTGAGCTAACAAGCCAACTGGGAGCTGGTCAATGAATTGGGAACAAATAAACATCCGAGTGAATGAAGATTTAGATATATGAAAATTCACATATTTGCACTGCGGTGGAAAGATGAAATTGATAGATCCTCGCAGCTAAGAACACTACTGAAACTAGTAGTTGTAAGTAGGACCTGAAAAAAATTTTTCAGGCCCGTACGGGATTTGAACCCATGACCTCTGCGATACCGGTGCAGCGCTCTACCAATTGAGCTAACAAGCCAACTGGGAGCTGGTCAATGAATTGGGTACAAATAAACATCCGAGTGAATGAAGATTTAGATATATGAAAATTCACATATTTGCACTGCGGTGGAAAGATGAAATTAATAGATCCTCGCAGCTAAGAACACTACTGAAACTAGTAGTTGTAAGTAGGACCTGAAAAAAATTTCAGGCCCGTACGGGATTTGAACCCATGACCTCTGCGATACCGGTGCAGCGCTCTACCAATTGAGCTAACAAGCCAACTGGGAGCTGGTCAATGAATTGGGTACAAATAAACATCCGAGTGAATGAAGATTTAGATATATGAAAATTCACATATTTGCACTGCGGTGGAAAGATGAAATTAATAGATCCTCGCAGCTAAGAACACTACTGAAACTAGTAGTTGTAAGTAGGACCTGAAAAAAATTTCAGGCCCGTACGGGATTTGAACCCATGACCTCTGCGATACCGGTGCAGCGCTCTACCAATTGAGCTAACAAGCCAACTGGGAGCTGGTCAATGAATTGGGTACAAATAAACATCCGAGTGAATGAAGATTTAGATATATGAAAATTCACATATTTGCACTGCGGTGGAAAGATGAAATTAATAGATCCTCGCAGCTAAGAACACTACTGAAACTAGTAGTTGTAAGTAGGACCTGAAAAAAATAAAAAAAAATATTTCAGGCCCGTACGGGATTTGAACCCATGACCTCTGCGATACCGGTGCAGCGCTCTACCAATTGAGCTAACAAGCCAACTGGGAGCTGGTCAATTCATTGACCAGCTCCCAGTTGGCTTGTTAGCTCAATTGGTAGAGCGCTGCACCGGTATCGCAGAGGTCATGGGTTCAAATCCCGTACGGGCCTGAAATTTTTTTTTCAGGTCCTACTTACAACTACTAGTTTCAGTAGTGTTCTTAGCTGCGAGGATCTATTAATTTCAAATCACGGGCTTCTTCAGCTGGTGGTCATTTTCTTTATTCTCATTACCTTAATATGTGATTTAGGGGTGATATTGTAAGGAGAAATTAAATGCTAGTGACCCTTAAAGGTTAAAGGGCTAATTTCTAAGCAGATACTCATTTAGGTTTTCCTTCTTGGGTTGCAGTGTTGTTATTCTTTTCGTATTGGTAAACTCCTGTTGCTTAACTTGATGTTCATATTTTCTTTCGATTTTTATTTATCAGGATTACAGACAACGTAATGCGTACATTCTGACTCAAGCTTTATCAGATAACAGTATTATCTCGGTCCGTAAAATGCAAAAGAAAAAAAAGGAACTCGGCCAATATCCAATATTCAGCTTCGTTAATAACGCATATATTGACACATTGTAGCAAAAGAGTTATCTTTTTATTGAACCAAAAATGTTCGTGTAGTTAAAACGAGCGCGCGATAACTAGTCGTTGTATTCTTCAAGTCACGGCAAACTCCCATGGGCAAATAGTAGGCATTAAATTGACCAATCAGAGCGCGCTTTACGTTGGTCATGTTACAAAACGTACTTGGAAATCTAAAAAACCCAGTGATTAAATTATTACTGCTACGTCCATAGCATCATCAAGGGGTGAAATCCAAACTGATGAAAAAACCGACACGCGAGCTTTCGTAACAACTATAAATACTGTAAAGAACTAAATGTATCATAATTTAGAAATTAACATAAACTGATTTAAAAATAAGATTTACATGCATTGACGATATTCCTACAAACTATACAAAGACGAGCTTGGTTTTATGGCGAATGTATAATTTTTTTTGATTTCTCATAAATGGGTCTTATAGGAGCAACTTCAGAATACCCCGCAACTCATTTACATGTCATTGAATAAGAATAGCGTCTATTGTGTTATGCCTCGATCTTCAAAGCCTCCCGACACATGTAAGTGAGGCGGACCAAAGTTGCGGGGTATTCTGAAGTTTAGCCGTCTTATATTTCCGCACTTGTTAGTTTACACGTATTCGTTTGGTTTTTCCACGTATCATCTCGACACAATTATTTTCGCACTTTACGAAGGTTTGAATAAAGGCTTAAAAAAAATTCAACTTCTTGAAAACAAAGCGGATAGTCCCAAAGGTAATCTATTGTTTGCGCTATTGTTTTCTTCAACAAAAGACTGTATGCATAATGAAGTATGGGGCTGTGCGGAAATTTTGCCCAAAGACATCTTGCGTGACCGCATACCTTAACACACAATTGAAACATGGCGCAGTTCAATCTCGAGCTTTGTTCCTGTGTAGTTGTTCTCGCTGTATTTCTTCCTCTGGCTTCAGGTGAGCACCATATCATATCAAATCTACTCGGAAGGTTTATTTTTATTTGAATACTACATTTAGCAGAAATAGTGGGATATGTTTTTCAGTTTTGAGAGCTGGAGCTTAAGACTTCCGCGTACCATCGCAACTTAATCGCTAATGCTGTCAGCATTAAAACCAAAAAGATTAGAGTATTGTTTATTAATCTCGGGACAGATACCAAGCTCTCTTTAAAAACAATCCTTTCCAAAGCATGTTTGGGAATGTGACCAAACAATTGAATAAATTTGGGTTTATTCGCTACATTTACTAAATGCTAAAGTACGTTCAAGCGACTTGTGAACATTCAGTTCAAACAGTCCTTGGGGGTAAAACGACGCAACGAACCTTTCTGTCGAAAAATTCATTCTCATCCATGAAAAACTTGGGTTTTGAAGCTAATAGAACAACCTGGTAGATAATCATGCCGAGGGTAAGTTTTAAAGTAATACTAATACAAGTCATTTAACTGAGATTTTGTCGTCGAACATATTTATTGCGACCGTCGTTAACTAAACTTCTACGCATGCCTTAGGCATTGACTGATTCCATGTCTGCCTCAGAAACGTGTCTTTTCCAATCTTGCGGACAAAAATCAATACATTATGCTTACATTGGAGCTTAAGGAGAGCAAAGAGATAATTGAAATTGTCTGCCTTTTCCAGTATTTCGTTCAGTTTCGCAATGAAACAATCATTATTCATTTCCGTTTCTCAAGCGAGGAAGGTGCGCGATTCACACGCGCGCATGCCCATGCAGGCGAAGGAGGCCGTTTCCTTTTGCCCCCGCGAGTCACACTCATGGCTACTTCTCGCCCAGTTTCCCTTGTAGTTAACGATATGCGACCGTGGCGATAAAATATCGAGCGTCGGACAGAAAGCGAATAGCTACCACTGCATTGACTGACTGGCTTCGCAAAATACCTATTTACAATTACCGTACTTTTTCGAATAAGCGCCCACTCTTTGATAAGCGTCCTCTCCCGAATAAGTGACCCCCTATCTCACTTTCTTCAATTACTAGTAGGGAAATCTTGTTTCTATTGCCACTTTATCTATAACATTTTGGGCTTCAACCACCGCCGCATCAGGACAGGAGAGTAGATTCTTTTCCGTTCCAGTTATGTTTACCTCCATGTGCTTGCAGAGTTCCTTTACAATTTTTAAATAAGCACACGGGCCTTTCGTTAAAGAAATACGGTTCTTTGAAATACTTCAATAGAGTTTGGGTCGAACTACTAAAAACGCAAACTTACATACTTCAGCTGGAATAAAAATGTTTTCACTGTAGATGAAATCAACTAGATCGTACATGAAAATTCTAAAAATCCCATTGATTTAACTATCACTGCCACATCCATAGCATCTAAGGGTGAAATTCAATCTGAACGACAAACCAACACAAACTTATGTGATAACTATAAAAATACAGCAAAGAACAAAATGCATTATTTAGAAATAAGCATAAACTGATTGAAAGCTCCAGATTTACATGTCTTAGCGTAATGCTACAAATTATGCAAATACGAGCTTGAGTGGCGAGGAAATAGACATGTTTTGTCGCATGAGCTTTCTGTTACAA